ATTGTTACTGGAAGTCGTCTGTTAACCCAAAAGTTCTGCAAAAGAGAGCGGTCGGAGAGAGAAATTTTGACAGTTCTTTCAGTGAGAGTTTGCAAATTCTTGCTGGAAAAATTTCTTCTTGCAATCACTTGCAACTCTTCTTCTTCACATTCATCGACATTCAATCAGATGTTTTCTATTGCTTGTTTATTTCTTTTTGTGCTTTCAATTTGAAAATATTTTTTTTGGAATGGGCAAGACTAATTGTTTTTTGAGATAAACTTTACAGAATGTAAAAAACGTAAATATTAATATGTAATAAGAAAATAAAAGGCTATTTTCTAAGGTTTTTAGACAAACGCCATTAGCAACAAATTGAAAGGACTCCGGGGAACACATAAAATCTATATTTCTTTTATTGCTCATATTTTTGTTTAATTGCTAATTTCCTTTTTATTTAAAAAACTTGTAAAATTGGTGGTCCTTCCTTTCATTTTATTTTCATAATAGGGTACATATTTGTTTGTTTTGACAAATCAGCTGATTAGTTGCAAGCTTTTGCAGGAATACCGTCTGTTTACTTTTCGCATTTTCCTTGCAAAAGAGAATAAAACTACCTTACTCTCTCAGAAAGATTTTGCTGGACAATTCCTGCGGGAAAAGTAACCAGACACACCTATTGTTTTTTTTTTTTTTTTTTTTTTTTTTTTTTTGTATGCGACAAGTGGTTATGATTTCAATATGTTGTTATTGTGGGTTGTGAGGGTTGCGAATAAGATGGATGGGCGTTCAGCACATATCTTTTTATTACAATTATTTTCCGAATACGCACTCACAAATTTTGACTTTCGTTTTGTTTTCCTTTTTTCGCTCACTTTTACAAAATGATTTCATGTACATTCATTTTACACAATGATTTCATTTCATGTTCATGTTTATTTTATACGGCGAGATTAACAATGATGGATGTGTGAAGGTTGCGTACTGTATGTAATGGTGAAATTCCATGAGTTGAACATGTGAGCAGAAAAAAAGAAAACAATTGATGAGAAATACGGCTCTATTGAATCAAATATTTCAGCGCAGCAAGAATTCTGCTTAACTGGGACAAATGTTTCTCTCCCGATGAGAAATAAATCTTCTTACAGGAATACAAACCGTGACCGCAAATGAATAGAAAGATAAATAAAACAAAGAGATTTGGTTTCAGTATATAGATACACGGCGTGTTGAGAGGGTATTCAGTCGGGGTTCAAGACCCCGACTAGACCCGGATCCAATTACTCCAATTACTTTTCTAAATTTGACACATTTTGTAAATAGCCGGCCTTCGGCCGGGGCTTGAGATTTTCTCCTCTGGGCATGTCCCACACCGGCTAACACGAACCAAAGTTTTCTGAATTTGATGCTTACGCGAAATATACCTTTTTTTTATTGAAAACTTAGTTTTAATGAACTGGTTAGAATCGGGTTATGCGGATTTTTTGGACTTTTTAGGGGTTTTATAAAAAATCCGGGTCCAAAAAATCGATAATTTGACTATAACTTCCGAACCGTAACATCTTACCCCATCATGTGACCACTAGTTGGATAGGCATTTCCATAAGCTTTCAATCGACAATCGTGGATCCGGGTCAAGGCGGGGTCTTGATCCCGGACTTTCGGGTCAAAAATCTGAGGTCCCGGGTCCGTCCCCCAAGAAAAAAATAGTTTCAAGGGATCAGGGTAAAAATACCTACCTCTGGAAAAAATTGAAGAGGTTTTACTAAACTAGAGTTGTTCCAGAAATTATTATTGTACTTAATAAAATAAAGAAAATTTGTTGAGATTGATGTACCTGTGAATTTTTTGAAATAAGTGTTCATATATGTGTGTGATATTGTTTTGGATTTGGATTTGTCGTCAGTTTTTCATTGTCTGTGGAAGCAAGCTCGTGTCGTTCCAATAACAAAGGGGAAGGTTGTTCATGACCCTGGTTATCTCAGGCCTAAATCAATTCTCCCGGTGATGGCTAAGGAGTGTGAGCAAATACTTAATCATGTATCAAGAAACATATACAATGATCAATTTGCGTTCCGTAGGAATATAATCGTAATATTGCCAAAGCCATTAAGATTGGCAGTCATGAATTAATAATTACCTTGTTCAGATAGACAGTGGTGTTTTGAAAATTCTTTGGTATTGAATCCGTTAAAAACCAAAGCCATTAAGATTGACAGTCATGAATATAATCGTAATATTGCCCTCGTTGGTAATCTAATCAGTTCTAAAAGCTGTCATAGAATGTTGGGCATTTTGGTTGATAAAAAACTTATTTGAGACTCATATCGATTCAGTTCAGAGGTACTTATTTACAATTATGGGTTAAAAAGAGGTTGACGATCAACTATGGACTTGAGCTGGTATCTGGTACGATTGATGTTATTTGTTTAAGAGGTAAGATTTGTGTATGATTTGAAGAAACATGATCACATCTCAAATGATGTTGGGTATTTCCTAGGAGTTTTCTTTTTTTTTTTTGAGCAATTTACATCTGTTAAGATTTTGCATGATTTTTAGAAAACAGTCATATGTGGTGTTGTTGGTGGTGGTGGTTCAGGTTTCCGGGCCAACACGAAATACTTAGATATTAATGCCCAGAATAAATAACTTAACACTTGAAAAGGCCTTTGTTGTATGTCTTGCAGGTTGTTGAATTATCTACCAATTAAACACAGAATTTTATTTTATTTGCAATAATGCCTATCGCTTGAAATTATTGAATCATATCCTGAATCCAAGTTTTAATCCCAATTTTCGCCATTTTTAGCTTTCATTATCTTCAATCATTTTATTTTTTGGGGGTTTTGATATATTCTAAAAGAAACTACATATCGAATATTTAATCTGGTCATAATGTACAATTTGAGGAAGGAAACGCCTCGAACGACGAAATGTTTAAAGAATATTTGATTGCAATAAATTGTCATTCAATTGTTACACTCCAAATAATAGCCAGTTGCAATTTTTTAGTGCACAATTCTGAGGCGATTTGGACAGGATCGTCTATCCTTGCTTTTGTCTGTTGTAGTAAGCTGTTTTTCGAAGAATGCGGTGTAGGTTGCCAAAATTTTGCATATAATGCAATACGATCAACAATCATTTCATATAGTACCGACTATAGCTTCATTCGCGGCATCGGTAGAAGATATCTCCACTACATGAGCAATAAAATTAGACCGGTCAGCTTTTTCTGGTTTTTGGGTTTTTAAATTAACGCGATATTAACGAAACTCTCAATTAAAACTTTCCGTATCTTTTATTTTGAATTGCAATTTCTATTACTCTTAGATTAGAGCAGGGCAAGGCAGAGAGCCTCAAAAATTTTTTGTGATTGTATGTGTTTTGAAATAACAAAATATTGCAAGTGTTTTTTGTCTCTCTTTACAGAGTGAGAAATAATTGGTTAAAATTAATATTTTTATCAGACAATTCGGAGATATATTTGCACAATTATTTCAATTATGATTCATTTAAAATAAAAAAATATATAAGTTGACATTTTCAGAAATTTAATACAATTTTGATGTTATATGGTTTAATAATTTCGGACTTAACATCCTAACCATCTAAGTTGACCCTTTAAAAAGTAATACCGATTACCACAGGCTGACATACGCAAATTGTCGTAGAATTTTATGCTGATCGGAAACTCATATCCTGCGTAGAGTCTAAAATATTATTTCTATGAATTAATTAAAAACAGAATGACAAACATCACATCCTGCTATTTTTCCTAATATTGACTAAGAAAGTACATACCATTTCAGAGAAATCAAGGGATATGAAAATGTCCACTAATTTGGAAGGACAATAAATGTATCTAACAATATTAAATGTATTTATATTCCTAACATGTGAACTCGTATGCAAATTTTGTCAAATAGAAATCATTCATAAAAGATAAATCTTAAAAGTTGTAATTTTTACAATTTCGGAAATGTTTGTTTCAAATATGTAATGAGATATATTTATGTACACCAATATTTCTTACGGTGTATTCATAAAAATATCCGACAGCACCTCCCTCATCGACTGCTCGAACAAAACTAAATATTCTCCCAAAACCATTTTGACAGAAAATTCAAAACAATGTATTTTTTACAATTGTGTTGGTGAACACACAGATATCCCAAGGGATACTCTTTGCCTAGCCTTGGATTAGACTCTAATCATTAGAGTGTTAGCTTTTTACCCTTTATTAATAAGAACGCAAATTGTCCATTTTCATTTAGTACCATATTTTTCTTCTGTGTTATTAAACGAACGAAAAATAAACAGGAATTGGATGGAATCGGATCATTAGTCGTGCAACTTAGCTCCGCTCTTATTAAAAGATGTGCTCAAATTCTCGGTGCCTAATTGAATCTCCACAGTCGGAAAGAGTTCGTTCGATTCGCTTAGTTTTTTGACATCGAGGCTATAGCAATTTCAGGATCAATGGCTGAAGAGTTAGGTTTGTGATAAATTTGCTCTATCATTTCGACAAAAAAATCATTTTTTCGCAGATCTTTATATATTTTTTTGTCTCGGGCGACAGTTAAAGTATTCTTGATAGTATCCCGTTCTTCCACACGAATTAAAGGCTTTGTAATCAGAGCGCTATTGCATTTATTTTATTTATTTTTTTTTGTCAAGGTACAATTCCAAGTAAGAACTATGGTTAGCAAATAAATATTGCTTAGATTTATTCTATTCTAAACTTAATTTTACTTCAATTTCATTAGAACGTTCACTTATCCCATATAGCGATACCTTTTCGGTTTAAAATGAACTAGCTCGAACATTGAATTCCGATACTTTTGTTCTGAAAGGTTTTTTTTTACCTTACGGTATTAATAGTTCGCCAACAACAGTTTTTTATCCAACAGTTTTTTTATAAAACAATGAACTGAAAAAATATTGCTTATATAAACAATTATGGTCAATGAAAGTTAAGACAAATTTACCGAATGTTAATTAAACTATTTATTTCTTTTCAGCAAATCAAGTTGAAAGCAAGGAATCCTCTCATCTTTTGCATATTTTGAATCGATCATTTGTGTATCCGGTGGAAGCTTCATTGCTGACTGAGAAACAGCCAACAGAAGAACCAATTTCTTTGGTCAAGGTATCGTAATTTCTTTTAATGGCATTATTATTCAATGTAACACTATACAACACGAAAATTGTTTACCATATTTTGATGATTTTCCTATCTCATCAACTTTTGCTGTAACGGACTCTATCATTTGGAACCCTTCATTTCCAAAAGAATTATTTTGTGAAGCTTAAATCATGCAAGCCGTTTAGAGTTTCAATTTCCTTTTTAAAACATAGCAATTGTCATATCGATAAGACTTCATTTTCAATGTAAAAATTGCCAGGGGTATTTTTTTGTTTGTATTAGGCTTGAGTTCTTATTTATAGAAAACATAGAAAATTGATACAACTAACAATGAAAGTATGTCTAAGATCTCAACATACTATAGCGGTTAATAATAGTTACAGCAAGAACAAACTATGCAACTAAAATTTTTTCGATCAAATATAATACATACTAAACTTTTTAAAGGGACAAAACCTAGCAACATAAACTAAATTTTTCAAACTACATATTTAAATTAAGTTGTATATAGTTTTGAACAATAAAATCCATATAATGCAGATAGCTGCGAATAAATAAAAGGTCCAAAACAAGGCTAGGCAAAGAGTATCCCTTGGAACACATAAATATACCTTACTACATATTTGAAACAAATATTTCCGAAATTGTAAAAATTACAACTGTTAAGATTGTCTTTTTCGATTGAATTCTATTTGACAGAATTTGTATACGAATTCACATGTTAGGAATATAAATTCATTTCATATTGATCGACAAATTTATTGTCCTTCCAAGTTAGAGACATTTTCATATCCCTTGATTTCTATGAAATGATATATACGTTCTTGGTCAATATTGGGAAAAATAACAGGTTGTGATGTTTGTCATTCTGCTTGTGATTCATAGAAATAATCTTTTAGGACCCAACACAGGATATGAGTTTTTGATCAGGGTAAAATTCTACGACTATTTGCATATGTCTGTATGTCAACCTGTGGTAATCGGTATTACTTTTTAAAGGGTCAACTTTGATGGTTATTAAACACAAATAACATCAAAATTATGTTAACTTATATATTTTTGAAGGACATTTATATTATTTTTTATATCTTCCACCGTAATATGTAGGGTATATTAAGTCTGACGTTCCGTTTGTAATACCTCGAAATATACATTTTAGACCCCACAAAATATATATAAAATTCTATTTCGATTTAACGATGTCCGTCCGTCTGTGGAAATCGCTCTAGCTTCCGAACGAAATGAAGTAGATAAATTAAATTTTGCTCAAATCTATATTATGTCAGGACTTTTGGTATTGAAAATGGGCCATGTAGGTCCACGTTTAGGTATTGCCTCTATATAACGGTACCTCCCGATAATCGGTATTTTGATGATTTTAGTTACATTATTCACCGTTTCTTTTATTCAAGTTTCAAATTTGAATATTGTAATGGTTTATGACAAAAGTTACCTATGCAGGTCCACATCGTCGTTTTGACTCTAATATAACGGCAACATTCGTTATTTTTAAGATTTTAACGGATTTTATTTTTTCGAAAATTGCCAAATTCTTTCCAGATGGTGGAGGGTATTCAAAGCTCTGTCAGGTCGAACTTATAGCTCTTTTACTTGTTTTATTTTAAAATTAATCATAATTGAAAAAATTGTGCAAATATATCTCCGAATTGTCTAATCAAAATATTAATTTTTACCAACAAAGTTGTTTTGAAAACAGAAAATTTTAAATTGAAAATTTAAATATAACAAATTATTTCTCACTCTGTACAGAAGGCAAAAAAACACTTGCAATATTTTTGTTAATTCAAAACACATACAATCACAAAAAATTTTTGAGGCTCTCTGCCTTGCCCTGGTCCAAAACAATCGCACAGTCGAATATTTTCTTCAAAGCAGTAGGTAAACCGGCCCGAGTAATGGATTCATCCCATATAAGTTTGGTGTACATCAGCGCCAAGGATAACATCTATGGGCGAACGTTCATAAAATTTAGAATCGGCAATTATAGTTGATTTTTTTTAACCCCTCGGGTAATCCTTTGCCCGGAGTCGACTATCCACTCTCAGCATGAGATCTACCCAACGCTCAGAGTAAAATCGGGATATCATGAGGACTAGACGTACATTTTCCCAGTCCATAGTTAGAGTCGTGAGCAAGGTAGATCTAGATCTACCTTGGTCGTGAGTTTCAAGGAGTCCGCCAACCTTTTAGAAATACGGCTAACAGATGCACCTAAATCCAAAACGCACCTCGCTGACGATTTGGTGTGTCATCCGTGAGGCGTATGACGGCGGCTGGCACAAAATGTCGGTGTTCTTTCGCAGTAGAGATCACAGCATTTGTGTGCAATAGCCTTTGGACTTTGATGGCTTTTTTGCGACCTTCAGAACTCGAAAGAACAGGAGCATCGATCAGTTTTTTTCTCTTGTTGAATATGGAGTAGCGTACGGTGGCGCCGATGGCATCTTTTGCATCCTTGGTTTGAGATGCATTTATGCTTCTCTAGACATACCAAAAAACTTATGAACGACGCTTCTTCGCAATGACGCGATTGATTAATCTGGCACTGGATGGAGACATATTGCTCTACTTAGCGTAAAGGAAGCGACTATAACGGATTTTTATAGATTAAAAATAAAATGGATGAAAATTTTAGTTTTGAGTGGATATGATGACGAGTTTCGTTATGAACCAGGCTATAGTTTGCCGTTGGGTGACTACATCCGTACACATCCGTATGAACCACGACAAAATTTCGAGATGCGTCCAAGACGCCACGCGATTGGTGGAAGATTGTAATCGATGACCGCAACTGATTTATAGACACAAACAACTTGGTCGGATGTTTCCCATTTATTGTATTTCTGTAGCTCACGCAAATATTAATTTTTCCATCGCGAACAGAAAATTTTAGTGACACGGAGACGCTGCCATTACTTTCTTCTGACAACGATTTTGTAAAGAATACAAGCGTTACATTTGTTGATTTCAGTTTGGAAATGCAAACAATCGGAAACGATATCATGAGACAACATTTTGATCGTGCTACTATTTAATTCGTCTAACTTAAGAAAGTCCTCTCGCTGGCGATGCTTAGGTGGAATGTCGGCCAGAATAGCTTTCAAATTGCATGACGAATTTCGGAATGAAAATCCAACGGACTTTGAAGCTGACTGCAACTTCTGAATAGAACGCAAAACTAAACAAGTAAAAAAGCAGGAAGTTCGGCCGGGCCGAACTTTTAATACCCTCCATCATTTGGAACGAATTTGGCAATTCTCAAAAACAATAAAATCCTTTAAAATTTTTGTTAAAATCTTAGAAATACCGAATGTAGCTGTAACATTAGGGTCTATATGACGACATGGTCCTGCGTAGGTAACTTTTGTCATAAGCTATTACAATATTCAAATGAGAAATCGGCGAATAATGTAGCTAAAATCATCAAAATACCCAATATCGGGAGGTACCATTATATGGGGCCTATAAAAATTTCGGTTAATAATGTCGCTAAATTCAACAAAGTACCGAATATCGGGAGGTACCGTTATATGGGGGTTATACGAAGAACCTGCACAGACAATTTTTTATCATATGCTGTAGTATCCACTACGAACATCAAATTCTAAATTTGAAAGAATTCCGGTTAATAATGTCACTAAAATCAAAAAAGTACCGAATATCTGGAGGTACCGTTATATGGGGGCTATACGAAGACGTGGTCCTGCACAGACAATTTTCTTTCGTAGGCTTTAGTATCCATTACGAACTGAATTGAAATTTGAAAGAATTTCGGTGAATAATGTCGCTAAAATCAACAAAGAATGGAATATCCGGAGGTACCGTCATATGGGGGCTATACGAAGACGTGAAATGTATATTTCGAGGTGTTACAAACGGAATGACAAACTGAATATACCCTCTATACTATGGTGGAGGGTAAAAAAATTTGGTTCACTCTATTTCTGGAATTCCGGCTACAATATCGTCGATGTACACAAAATTTCGAAGAAAATTGGTATATATAGGAAGCTCCAAATGAACATCATCAACTAGCTGATGTAATACTCGTATCGCCATATAAGGTGCTAAATTAACACCGAATGTCACTGTCTGTAATTGAAAGACTTGAATTTCCTCATCTGGATTTGAACGATGATCTTAACATGAACTGGATAAATTAGAATGTGCCTGTACAATTTCTCAACGTCGTCATTAAAAAAGAAACGAATGCATGGCACCATTTCACCATTAACATTGGTCTCCTTAAAAGGTAAACGAACTATGTTCTTGTTATGGTAGGCTTGACAAAATCTTCGCAAAATTTATCGACTGGGGACAAGATGTTCTTCCTTGGAATATTCTCCACTTACCAAAATTACAAAATCTCGTTATACAAAGAGATTTCGCGGAAATTAGAAATTTTGTCAATGACTGTGGATGAATTTTTAAATATAGGATCCGCCAAGGTCCATCCAAAGACAGACTGACCAGAAGAGAGTCACGTATTTCTGATATTGACATAGAAAGAATTATCGCTCTCAGCACATTGCTGCCAAAAAGAAGGTCAAATTGTGAGCACTTCTACATGAGCTCACATGAATCAACGAAAGGTTCGGACGGTCTTTGAACGAAGAAGTCGGAATTCCTGTAGGAATTACGAAATTGTTAATTCGAAATCGCGAATGAAGAAATTGTACTGTTTACGTACACTAAATCTGAAAACTCGTAAAGTAGTTTAATTTTATTGACAAACGTTCTGCAATAAAATAATCGAAGAGCGCACAACGAATATGTCACACCATAAGGAACAATTTGCACTATTGCGGTACCTAGCAACAACCCACAGGAATTGGTAGAAAAATAATTTTGTACAGACCCAACTCCGCTGCTACCGTACGAAAGACGAATTGCGTGGATTCTTGTCTAGAAGAGTATTGTGTCGCTTATTTAATGCGTAACAGCTATGCTAGTTTGACAATTCATCACGGAATGTGTTTGTG